CGGGGATGGAGGACAGAGCCAGGGCAGGCTGAGCCTCCTCTGGAGGCAGCAAGGCCCCATGGGGAACTGCTCTGCGGCCTCATCCAGGCTTTCTTCACCAAGCTGGGGTCCACCACCTTCACCCCAGGAGCTCTTGACCCCTAACATCTTCTTAATTTTGTTCTCTTAAACCAAGCAAAACCTGGGCACTAAATGATAACACTCCCAAAACGACAAAGCCACTTCCTTTCTCTCCGGCTGCCTCCGCCTTCCAGAACTTAAATGTTCTGAATGTTTCAACACCCTGAACTAGGCACTGAGAGCTGCTGGGCCCTGGCGGGTGGTGTGGGGTGGCGGTCCCTCTCCAAAATGTCAGGTTTGGCCACACGGAGGAAAGGGCAGCTGCTTCAGGACCTAGGGAAGCAGGGCTCTGTGTGGATATTGGGACCACTGTGGAATCACAGGGTTGATCAGGGACACGTGCATAGAACAGGCCGCCCTTGGGGACACGTGCTGAGCCCAGCGCCGGGCCCATCCTGCCCTCTCCAGCGCCAAGGCCGGTGCCATGGCGTAGATGAAGCATGCGGGGTGACACAAGTGCACGGAGGCAGCTCGCAGTTCCCATTCCCCGGGAATTCACCTGGAAGCTGGCCCCAGGAGAACACAACTCACCAGTTTATTTGGATATCGTAAAACCACAGGCTGGACGGGAGCTCCGGGGATGAAGGCACCTGCCGGGAAAGGAACAATGGTGTTGCCCATGGCAGCCTGTGCAGGATGGCGTCTGCTGCGTTTCCCATGCTGCTCTTGGGCTAACAAGCAGCTTTCCTGTCTAGGCCTTCCTGGTCAGCAAGGTCACTCCATGCCTGGACTATCTCAACATCTGTAATGGCTGTAAACATCCAGCACCACAGCACGGACGGGCGGGAAACTCACCAGGAGCACTGCCCGGCCGAGGGGCACTTTCTATTAGAGCACCATGCACAAGCTAGAAGGCGTCTGTGGGAAGTGGGGGTCCTCCAGGTGTCTGCACCTTGAGGTCCTCATCACCGGCCATGCCCATCCATGTGATGGAGTTAGGGTCAGTCCCCACCAGGCACACACATGTGCCTCAGGGCTCCACCTGCCGCCCTCACCCGGCCGTGGGGCTCAGCTGGAAGGACAGGAGGATTTGGTCACAGCTGTGGCAGGACCTGCCCGGGACCTGCCTCTCTTTCTGAGCGGCTGTCACCTGACAGGCTCCCAAGAAACCAGGAGGAGCCCCAGGGAGGCTCACGAACTTCCCCGTTCACACTGGAATTATGGCTGCACCCAGCAGCCGCTCCGCCTTCCCACTGGCCAGAGTTGTGCCCTTTCGAGCTAGAACAAGGCACCACAGACTGTGGATTCTGTTTCTATGTTAAATTCTATTGACAGCTCTATTTAAAGACTTTTTTTAAACTGGAAAACTCAGGCATCAGAAGTACTCAAGTTTTAGAAAAGGATAAGTTGTGTGAGGAGCGCTCCCTGCCAGGCGACCTGAGGGCACACTCCCTGCCAGGCGACCTGAGGGCACGCTTCCTGCCTGATGACCTGAGGGCACGCTCCCTGCCAGGCGACCTGAGGGCANCTCCCTGCCAGGCGACCTGAGGGCACGCTTCCTGCCTGATGACCTGAGGGCACGCTCCCTGCCAGGCGACCTGAGGGCATGCTTCCTGCCTGATGACCTGAGGGCACACTCCCTGCCAGGTGACCTGAGGGCACGCTTCCTGCCTGATGACCTGAGGGCACGCTCCCTGCCAGGCGACCTGAGGGCATACTGGCAGATCCCCAGGCAGCACCTTCTTCCCAGGCTGCCAGTGAGGGCCACAGTGGCGTCAGGAATTGGTCCTGGCTGCGGGATTCTGCACCACTCTGGGAGAATGGAGCCCTTGCTTGCCCAGGGGCTGCAGGAGCGTCTGTCCCTAGGCTGATTCTCCTTTCACGGTGGCTTGAGGCGAGGCCAGTGTCAGGGCTGTGACCCTGAGCTGATGGCCCAACCTGCTTGGCTTTCACCCCGTGCAGGATGTCTACCTGCAGCCCTGGTGTCTAGCCGGCACCCTGAGTCCCTAGGCCTGTGTGCCGTGGCTTCCCCTGTGAGTCCCTAGGCTGTGTGCCGTGGCTTCCCCTGTGAGTCCCTAGGCTGTGTGCCGTGGCTTCCCCTGTGAGTCCCTAGGCTGTGTGCCGCGGCTTCCCCTGTGAGTCCCTAGGCTGTGTGCCGTGGCTTCCCCTGTGAGTCCCTAGGCCTGTGTGCCGTGGCTTCCCCTGTGAGTCCCTAGGCCTGTGTGCCGTGGCTTCCCCTGTGAGTCCCTAGGCTGTGTGCCGTGGCTTCCCCTGTGAGTCCCTAGGCCTGTGTGCCGTGGCTTTCTCCGTGTCCAGTGCTGGGCTGCCCCTTCCCTGCTGTGGGCTCGGCAGCACACAGGAGTTAGCTCACGTGGTTCACCCAGCACTTCTGTGCACCCAGGACGGGTGGCTGTGTCAGGGGAGGTGGAGGATGGCAGGGCTGGCATAGACCCAGGCTCAAGCCCCAGCTTCCATGCCCAACAGCCGAGCCCAAGCCCCCGGGACGTGCAGTGCGGAGAAGATAGTCCTCACTGCCTCGGTCTGAGCCCAGGAGACGCATGGAGAGCTGGGACTGGCTGCAGTGATAGCAGCTTTGCTGCTGCAGCTCAACAGACCATCTCGACCATGTGTCAAGGGGACATCACAGAAACTCAGTAAGATGCAAAGGAAACCTCAACACCCTGGGGACCTCTCAGGAAAGTCCCCAAGAGCACAGAAACCTCCCATGAGCCTGAAAGGTCAGTGACTTCACAGAAACCCTGGTGGGAAAGTCTGCCGGGGTTTCTGGTCCCCCTAGTGTCCCAGGGGCCCCCGAGGGTCAGCGGCATCCAGACCCCGCCGGCACCGTGCACTCTGGGCAGACTGCACAAGGGCCAGCCTGGGAGAAACCAAGATGAGGGTGTCTGAGCCCAGGGCTTCTGAACATGGGAACAAGGATGAAGGGAGGACGCGCAGGCTTCTGACTGCACAGAAACCTCCATATTCACACACAGCTTGTGCTTGGCATGCGTCTAATTTTACTAGTTGCAATGATGAGGCTGGGAGACAGCTCAGCAGAGACCCCTGAGGCCCCCCAAGAGGGCCATCACCCCTTATTCACCCAGACCATCCCCACAGTCTACCCCACAGGGAGAAACAGTCTACCATGGCCCAGGGAGAGCCGTGTCCATGTCTGCTCACAGCCAGTAAAATGAAGCTGCTGTGGCCCAGGGACAGCTGCGTCCGCATCTGGGCACAGCCTGCACAGGAGCCCGCGTGGCCCGGGACAGCTGCGTCTGCTGCCGGCAGCCACACTCGCAGGCCTGGCGTCCGCATCCTTGGGCAGTTGGTGGTGTTGCTGGGCCCCCGCCACATCCCAGTGCCTTCTTGCTGTCCTTGCTCTGCTCTGAGAGCTCAGTGTTGGTGGGTAGGTGGGGTGCGGGCACGTGGAGGGTGTGGGCCCAGCACCTTCCACGAGGGGCCCAGGGGCACCCAGCCAGCCGATCCTGCTATAGTGCCCTCTGACAAGGAGGGTGAGTGTGGCACTGGAGAGGAAGGCCCTGCATGGGCCTGTTTCAGGTGCAGCTCAATCCCTGCAGAGCCCTGAGGGTCCCGGCCCTGCTGAAACCCACTACATCCAGCAGACGTCCTGGGGCTCTGCTAAACTCTGTCACCCCCACCTCAGAGGTGGCCAAGGCCAGGGTCAGAACAGGGGGCCTCAGGTGGACAGTGCAGTGCAGACGGGAGACACTCAGGAGAAAGAAGGCGTCCGGGCCGAGGAGGAGCCTGGCGGAGCTCCAGGAGCAGGAGGCTGGAGACTGGGCCCGATGCGGGAAGGTCTCTAGGGATGAAGGTGGGGAGTTGGCAGTGCCCAAAGAGGGGTGACCCCAGCAATGTGACCCCAACATGAGGCAATGTGATGGAAGGTAGAGGGAGGGGCCTGAGTCGGGGAGGCGCCGTGGAGCTGTGGGAGTCTGAGCCCGGGACCCCAGACAGGTTGTGGGTGCCTCTGGTGTCAGGTTCAAGGCGGGAGACCCCCACGGCTCCGGAGGGCTGCACCTTGAGGTGTCAGGATCACGCAGCATAGACCAATTTCACCTCAAAACAGGATCCAAACCTGCCTAAAAAGCACCCAGCTAGGATGAGCGAGGGCTACAAGATTCCCAACACATGCCTCAAGGCCGCCAGAGCCCCGAGCCCGAGGGTGACATTTGGAACTCATGGCTGGACCCGCTGGAAACGGAGACGGGGACGGGATCCAGCCGCCGTGCGGTCTCCACAGACGCTGTGGAACCCACCTGCGGAACAGCGAGCGCCCTTCCAGGGCGGCACACAGAGAGCTCCCGCCTGGCACTGCTGCCACTCGCCTCGGTTTTGTGATATGCGTTGAGAGGTGCGCACACGCCCTCCTCACGTCTACACCAGGGCTGCCAGCTCCACAGGGCAAGGCCACACCCCTTCCTGGGGGCCTCCCCACAGGCACGAGGCTCCCCTCCCCAGGAACACCTGCCCTTTAGATAGGCCCTGCAGTGACCCCAGCCCCACACCCGCCATGGACAAGACCTGACCTGCCTGCCAGCTGTTTTCTGCCTGGGGCCCTGGAGACACGGCCTGCTTTCAGCCCTCACCAAGGCTGCCCACGTTGTGGTCCTGGCTCACAGGCTGTGCTCGGGCACGGGCCCAGTGTGGTGGGGCACGTGAATTCTTGGTCACTGGGTGTCACCTCCACCCTCTACGTCTCTGGTTCTGAAGGACTCAGAACCACATGTGGCGAAGACAATGGAACAGGAAGACCCAGCACCTTCCACTGAGCTGCTCTTTGAACTTCCGCTAGTGACACCTGCCACCTGCCTGCCGCGCCGAGGAGGGTGGAGGACGAAGGCACGCACAACTGAGCAGGAGAGGATGGCCACAGGCCCGGAACCGCATGGTCCACACAGGCAAGCGACTACACACTTCCTCTACCCAGCTCCCAGAAAAGCCTGGATACTCAGGCTGTGTGGCCCCAGAGGCAGGGCAGCCGGTACCAGCCCGGTACCAGTCCGAGCAAGGTGCTGGCTGCTCCACGTGACTTGGGCCCAACCCCGGGGAACAGGTCTGCAGACCCCAGGCACGGACACAGTTCATGAGAGCCACCACTTTCTAAAGTCGCCCAAGGGAGACGACAGGATCCGGGTGGACTGTCTGACATGCCCAAGGGTGTGCAAAATTCTAAGCAGACTCAGCAGAAAGAATGGTGGGCTGTTGCCTGCTCATTGCAACGTTTCGCATGTCAGGGGTGGAGACCCCAACACTAGACCCGGGTGGCCGCTGCAGGAGAGACCCAAGTTCACACGCGTTTGAGTCCCCCTCCTCAGGGAGAAAGAGCGCTGTCTAACTGGGAACTTGGGAAGCTGAGGACGTGCAGATCTAAACACGGCTCACAGGGATTTGCACCTGGGATCCCCAGGAGTGGTGGGGAGCAAGCTGCAGGCCCAGAAGGGCGCCCTGAGCCATTCAAAGGCAAGGAGGCCCCTTCTGGACCCAGAACCCCCCAGCCTAGATCTCTAAGCAGACGCAAACCTTTATCTCTACCACCCTGGACATGACCTGAAATCCTGACTTCTCCATCCTCCTGCAAACATGATAATCCTCGACTCAAATTCTAACATTTATTTTGTGACTTTTCTTAGAAACACCTCTAAGAACCCCAGCATACGGGAGAAAAACAGAAACTGTTCTTATTTGCACAACACATTATTTAAAAACATCACTTGAATATTTTCCTTTTCTCTAGGAGAAAAATAAACAATTAAAACCACATACCAGGTTTGAAGGTAATTAGGCAGGTCCTGTTCGTACAAGTTCCTTCTGGAAAAATCATTATCTTGAAGTAGGAGAAAGAAAAAGATCAGCATTAAACTACATAAGTCTAATTCAGAACTTACAGGTGCCAATCTTCACAATATATTTTCTTGGCCGCTGACACAAGTTAGATTCTGTAATCATATTCAGTATCTAAATTATTAAAACGCATTATGGGAGCGTACACTGATTTCCGCTCTACTGGTTTTACTGAAGTGCGGCAGCAGTGGAAATACACAAACAGCATCTGCCTTCTTCAACCACAGCTCCTGGAAAGCAGGGAGATCTCGGTGCCCACCTTTCAGCCCCTGTGAGAAGCAGGTGCGCTAAATAGAACGCACACTTAGCACAGCAGAAGCACCCCTCGGGGGAGCAGTGCTCGTTCTCAACAGGAAGAAGGGACGAGCACAAGAACACGCGATGGGAGCGCCTGGCTGACGGACCCCAGCAGCGCGCTCAGTGAGCTCAGCCCCAGTCAGGCAGTGCCCTCCACACCGCGGCTCCAACGCCTCTGAATCACGCTGACCTGCAGTAGCAGAAACTGCACTCAGACTTGCAGCCCCTCAGGCTGCTTCAGTTCTGGACCCCGAAAGGAAGGGAGACCTCAGGCGGGCCAGCGGGGGTGCACCCAGACCTCAGGCGGGCCAGCGGGGGTGCACTCAGACCTCAGGCGGGCCAGCGGGGGTGCACCCAGGCCTCAGGTGGGCCAGTGGGGGTCCACCCAGACCTCATGTGTGCCAGTGGGGGCCCACCCTGGCAAGCCCAGGGCCAGGCAGGCCAACTGGGTAAAGGAGGAGGCAGTCTGTGCTTGTGGGGGCAGAGCTGGGGCACCCTCGAAGTCACGGCCTCCACAAGCGGCTACCCCCAGCCAGACCCCGCAAAGGTTCCTGAGCAACCAGATCCCAGACAGTTCTGTGAAATTTCCAGCCTCTAATGCTGGCTCAGTTAAAGAAGAAAAAGAGAGGGCCCAGGCTAACGTCAGCTGCACTGCCCTTACAGCTGGGTCAGGGCTTCTGAATGATGGCTGGGAACCGGCACACAGACCAGCAAATTTACTCCAGGACCTTCAGAGCCACCCGATACACACAAGGCTGACACATCAAACCCAAAACCGCACCACACCAGGAGGGTGGATTAGCAATGCTCTGTCCGAGTCAGAACTTATGTTCAAAAACGATGATTCAAGAAGCTGACGTGTTTGAGAGCTGTTTTTCCTTGCTTTAAATTTCAGGCACCGAAACCAAATGCACCTGACAGCACCGTCTTGAGCTCACGTACTCACCAAAAGAGAACTGGAATCCAGCCCCAGAGGAAGGGCCCCGGTTTCTTCTTTCTCCCCATTCTCGAGGTTCACATCTTTTGGAATAAAACCACCAAAACACAATCAAGACTGCCTTACCTGCGGCCACTTTCCGTTGGACTGTGCCCGTCTCTTGATTTCTTCTACTGTTTTCCTGCGAGAATCCTGGTCTGACCGGGACACGAACACGGGCCGTATGTACCGGATCAGAGCTGGAAGAGAGGAGGGGAGGCAGATCACATGGAATGCACGTCTCCTGCCAGGCAGTGCCGGGGAACAAGAGGGCCCCTGCATGGTGCCCAGGGGGGCAGGAGCCCCCAGATACCCCAGGGCTGTACCATGGGCGGGCTGAATCCCTGCCTGAGGGACTGGGAACAGCACCCAGCCTGCCCAAGTATGCAACAGCAGGAAGCCCTGCCACCTGGGTGCCAAAAGTAACAAAAACCACATCCACGGCACCCACTGAGGACACAAAGCACAGAACAAAAACCAAGTCCATGGCAGCCACTGAGCACAGAACGGAGTCAAGGAAAGACGATCGCCAGGAAGCAGTAAGTCTTCGGTACCGGTTTTAACAGAAGATAGGGTCGAAGGTACCAGGTCCCGTGGCTTGGATCCCGCCCACCCTGTGTGGGTGAGCTGCACCCCTAAAAGATGAGCTGAAGTCCTCACTCCTGGTATCATGAGTGGGACCTCGTTTAGAAACAGGTGACAGCAGACGGTGAAGCTAAGATCTAGGATGAGGGTCCTCAGGGGAAGATGAGACAGAGATGGGTAGAGAAGGCCAGGGATGAAGGAGGCGCTGGAGCGACGTGGCCGCGGCCCCCGGGGAGCTGGGGAGGCTGAGGGAGCTTTCAGAAGAGCCCAGTGCTGCCAGCACCTTCATCTGGGGCTTCTGCTTCCAGACGGTGGGAGCACACGTTCCTGTCGTTCTGGGCCACCAGCCGTGTGGGGCTTTGTAGAGCAGCCCCGGTTCTAACCACTGCCCCCCACAGCCTCCTGGTAGGTGCAGGGTCGGGGTACCAGGGACCCTGCCATGAAGGCTGGTGCTTGGTCAACCAGGGCACACGGTCACAGCACCGGTCCTTCTGCAAGAGGATTTGAACGTGGCAACCAACTTCTCAGAAGAGAAAGTTTGAAGACTTGACAATCAAACTATCCCTGAGTGGGGCTTCCTTCTTGAGGATGGTGAGCCGGATCCACACTCGGTCCCCCAGACCAACTGAGGGAGTCTTCTGACCCCACCACGGGCTCCCAGGCTGCTGCAGGTCACCCTACCTCTCCACCCCAGGTCAGCTTCCAGTCTCTTTTCTTAGTGTTTTTATTACTTGTAAGGAGTAGCACTTTATGACTTTCATTCTTTCTTGGAGGTTCTTTCCTCCAAGAGCAAACAGAGAATTAAAGCCAAAAAAAGAAAGTTCCTTCTATCCTGTGATTACCTGCTGGGTCTGAGGACCCTTCTGTAAAATCAAAGACACATGGGGTCTTAGTGGTCTTTCCTCTGACTTCAGTCATTTTGCTTTTTCATGATTCCCAGAGCCGTTTCATCCTCACCCATCGATTATTCCCGACTCTGCTAAAAAGGACTAAAGAAGGAAAGGGCAGAATGACGGAGCCGCCTCGTGGCCCTGACTGCGTGGTCTTTCAGTGCCCACTGTTTTGCCCAAAGCGTCCCATGGTCTTCCCAAGGGCGCACCAGGCCTGGAGATCTCACTCTGCCACCTTTGCAATCTCGTCAGCTGGTCTGTTTCATGAACAGAGTTGAGATTTCAGAAGTGTCTATACAGCAAAGAAAAGAGCAGAGGCGTGGGGGAATTTCTCCACACTCAGATGCGTTCAGGGGTCCACATGCAGGGTGCGGGGGTGACATGTGCATCCGAGAGAGGCCTTGGGCCGTGCACCTTCAGTTGGGCTGCTGGTGTGCGTTTCACACTCCAGCACTGAGAACTGGGCGGCACTGATGGCAAGGAGCTGCAGCTCCTCCCTGGGCGCCCTGGGGAGGGAAGGGCGTCACCACGCCATCCGCGCAGCCACACTGGGACTGGCGCATTTTGCCAGCAGGAACGTGACAGCGTTCTGCTGTCTTCTGGGCATTTGAACCTCCAACTTTCCTTGACAAGGTTTGTGAATGGATGGTGCAGATATGAAGGTCACTGAAACTAATACCGTGAAAATGAAAAAAATCCACTGGGTTGGTCACTCTACTTGGTATTGATACATCTGAAAATGAAAACATTTTGAACACTTTCAACCTGCATCTCGTCAACGAAGTTGTGAGCTGTCAGAGGGTCCATGACAGGAACCAGAAGTTACCACAAGCCGGGACCAGGTGAGATGTCTCTGGGCTGGAGCCTGGGGGAGACATATCTGAGCTAGGAACTGAGGAAGACGTCTCCGAGTTGGAGCCTGGAGGAGACAGACGTCTCTGAATTGGAGTTTAGGGGAGACATCTCTGCGCTGGAACCCAGTGCCCAAACACTCCTGCATGCCGGCAATCTCCGCAGGGAGGCACCAAGGGGCACAGGGAGATGTCTCTAAGCTGGAGGCTGGGGGAGATGTCTCTGAGCTGGAACCTGGGGAGATGTCTCTGAGC